TTTTTTTTTTTTTTTTTTTACCCTGCGATATTTTCGTGGCTACCGAATTTTTTACGCGAAGAAAATTTTGTTTTATCCAAAATCCCGGACTGAAATTTGCCTGCAGCATTCAGAAATGAAAATCTCGTTAGCTGTTCATTTTTTTTTTCAAGCCGAGTGATTTCCTCGAGAAAAAAACAATTAGAACCAGTTCTGTTGTATAAATTCGACTAATTCTGAGAAGTCGTACTAGAGGAAAGAAGTGGTTACCAAGAAGTTGAGCCGGGATGGGACCAGTCGGATCAACCTTATCGCTCCCGTAATGTTCGACCAATCGTCTCCTGACGTAAGCGTGTAGTTTCTTGTACCAAGGTTTCATTTCCTCCCAAACTGCTGCAATTTGTTGCTGGAAATACGGTTCGTCGTACGGCGAGACCCACATTGCGTCTCCACTCGGGTAACCTGAAGGAAAAACCATCCATTCAAGACTGATTTTTTTATTGTGTTGTAACGCGTTCTGATTTCAAATAATGTGGTGGGTAAATTGCGTTAATCTTGCCGTTCAATTCAGCTGCTTTGTTGATGTATGGGTAGAATTGAGCGTATTTTTCGCGCATGAGCTTCCCGGATGCATCTCTCCATGCCTTCCATACGTGGGTCAGTTCGTCGTAATCTCTGGAATTTGCCATGATTTCCGTGATATCTGAACATTGCAAAAGAAGGGTATGTACTGGCATGTATTATTGTCAATAAAAAGAGGTCGACCTGCCAAAATTCGAAGGATATTTTGTCACGACTTAATGAAATGAACGCTCTTCAATGATGAGCATTGAAGCCGATTTAGAAGTTGATACAAGGGTACATCATCGATATTTCACGAACTGATGAAAAGCGATGCCCGGAAATCAGTTTTGAAATTGGCTGTTACATATATTATTCAGGATATTTCACGTCATGGATACTGTATATTTGGCGTACGTGTTTGATTAAATCAGTACTGCCCAAATCAGACGGTGTGGCACAAGGGCCACATCTACGCATTTTTTTTGTGGTCGAGGGCCACATATTGCAAAGGTGGAGAGTCCTTGCGGGCCACAATAAAGAATTTTGGAGGTTCCGAATTTTCCCCTCTTGAATTAGAAGTTTCAAATTTATTCAAGTTCTATGCATTTAATTACAAGCGTAGCCAGGTTAAATTTTTGAAGGGTGGATGAACAGCATTTTAAATTTTCAAATTAATCTCATCTCAATTTATATTTTGAATATTCGCGGGTGCTGCGCCCTTGAAAATTATAGGGAAGGTACTGTGGGATGGACGAAGATTCTCTGCGGGCATTGTTATTGGGCAGCACTGGATCAGATCTAGACCAGTGCTGCCCAATAACATAATGCTTGCAGAGACTCTTCATCCATTTTTGACACTACTGGAGTAGTGTCAAAAAGTTTAAATGCCATTTTAACCCTTGGGCAGCAAAGTCAGACTATTTTTGCAAAATTTTGTTCCACCGCAGGGAAGAAAAGAAAAAAATGACAACAGGGAGCTGAGGACAAAGTTGGGAAAAATCCCGATGTTTTTTTCTTTTTGCCCTGAAAAATTTCGCAGGAAATAAAAAAAAATACTATGTTAAGCAACAGGCTTTTCTTGGATTAATCCCAACTTTGCCACAGCAAACCTGGAAGGGCTTTTCTGATCTTCAGAAAACTGGAAATGCCCCAGCATACAAAAATAAACTGATTTTGGTCAGCAATGGGAAAGAACCCTCCAACGTCCAAGGGTTAAAACAGCAATGTTCAAGAAAAAGCGTTTATTATGGGATCCATTTTTAACTTCGCGGAAAAAAATCTTACGCATCAAAGCGATGAAAACGTTCATCTATATACAATGAGTGAATAAATTTTTGCTTATTATCAACTTTCAAAATGTAGATTTTCAAAGCTTCTCCTTTATTTAATCAATTATGGAACATGCACGCAGAATTATGGGATCTTTCCTGCCGTTGCTGAAAACTTGAAAACTGAATCCGATTTTGACGAATACTTACTTCAAAACTTTTTGAGTACAGAAAGAATGACTATATTTCTGAAAATAACGTGATTCTAGAAATAAATATTCGCATCTTTGTTGAGTGATAGTTTGTTTCGGGGAATAAAATAACTTGTTCTCTTATCAGCACTCACGAGGTTCCAGGGCAAGACCGCATTCAGATCCGTCCAAATTACAGATGGTGGCCGCTGCGTAGATGGTTTCCATTTCGGCTTGCAAGGTCAAGTACTAATTAACCCAATGGGGTATTATATACGAGGTCAAATTAAACTTTGCGCTGAAGTCGTATTCGGAATTTAATTTTGCTTCACGTTTGTCAAGTCGGTTCCGGTGAGGATGGAATCCTTGGCAGAGTCTTTCAGTTTCCTGATTTTCCTGACCAACACTGAATCAGAGTAGGATTCCCAATTGGGAAATTGCCCGTTGGCATCAAAGGCTGCAGTCACTCGCTCCCAGGCGTCTTTCTTGAAAGTCGCGTAAACTTCATTTGCTTGGGTCTGTGGAAATTTTAAAAACTCCAGTACTGTATAGACTTAATCGAGATCTTATTTATTCTCATATACTGTATACAGTAATAGACAATAGAAGGACGTACAAGTTAGTTAATAACAAAGAACAATTTTAATACTGTATAATAAACAGTGCTGGAAATTTGTTTTCAGTGATGTCATTATGCTGGTCTCGAATGAACTTATTCTTTCGAGTTGCTATGCAAGAAAGTTTGGAATTGCGACTTGTCTGTTGCTTACATGCGTATGTCGCCATCTGATGACGCAAGAAGCTTATATATTCTTCATGATGATTTTCTTCCCAAAAATTACAGTATCATATCTTCATAAAAAACCGCTTAATTAAACGGAACATCATCAATAAATAAATTAGGAGAATAAACATTAATGAAATATTCTATGACCATGCTTTGTCTTAATGATGAAAAAGCTGCCGGAATTGATGACGGAAATTTTCAAATAAAATGCAAACGGGGTTTAAGACTAATTTTTGCTGAAGTATGTTCTGTGATAATCTGAGAAGTCCCAATTCGGCCGAGAAAAAAATACCCTTGTATGCATCAGTAGGATAAGCCGTCTGTATACATGCGCCAAGTTTCTTCTATTCATTTCAACGAGTATAGATGCCGTTATTCATGAAGTTTCAAATTTTTTCCTTTTTTTGTCGATGGATAAAATTGGAATATCGATTATTAGTGAAATTATTATTGAGGCTGACGATAAATTCCCGAAGAATACGATGTACTGTATGATTTTTCCTCTCTTGTCGATAGAGGAAATTGGATTATCGGTTATTAGTAAAATTATTATTCAGTCTGATGGATTCCCGAGGAAAACCATGTACTGTATTAATGTAGTACTGTATATAGGAAACGACGACAGAACTCACGCTGGTCGCAGCTGTTTCATCCGTGACGTTGACGATGTAGTCCCATCGGGCAACCATTTGCGCATTGCACTGCAACGAATATTCTTCGTCCAGACTGGAAAGCCAAGTGAGTGCCTGTTCTTCTTCACTCGGTCTGGTTTTTCGATGCCAGAACGCTCGCACTTGTCGCCGTCACGGCGATTATCGCCAAAACGATGACCGTCGCGAATTTGGGACCCATACTTTTCGGCAAGGATATAGAAGAACAGCGTTGGCTTATTCCTTTTTGGTGGGAAATTTGGCCTTCCAACGTTTTTAAAATAATTTAATTAAAACTTACTTGAAAATTAAAACACTGCGGTGCATAGTTTTCGCAGTTTTAATGCGTGACTTATTTAAAAAGGTGAGTGAAATTTGTGTGTCCTGTATATAGAATTGGCTGATCAGCGTAAAGCTTAGTTGATTGCGTGTGTTTGTGTTACATTTAGAATGAAAAGTGATTGTTTCTGAGCGATCAGTGTCATTATATAACGATTTGAAGATGCTGCTATTTTTCTCTCTCTTGAATAGTTCTTCTTGGGCCCAAGAATTTAGCACCGATATTCGCTCTCCGCTTATATTATTGATTACTTGAAGGTTTACCCGCATTTTTTTATAATCTTGAAATGCCTGTTCAAGGCAAAGTTTTGAGAATTTAATAATTCTTACCAAGTGATAATAATTTTCCTACTGGTTAAAATTTCTCTGCGGGAACATTTTCAAGTGGTGTGTTACATAAAAAGTAGCTTCACTTTAAACTGTGACCAATCGAAATGAGCTGATGGGAATAAAGGCGGAATTGGATTTTATGGTTTATTGATGTGTATGGAATTCAAATGGAAACAGGGCTTCGCAGAAACCTTCAATCTATACTTTGCGAATCTATTTTCCACGATTGATCCTGAGACGAAAAACTGCGATATTATGAAAATTAAAGTTCTTAGGATTTTATACCTGACGCAGCAACATTAAATTTGACGACAGTTTCATTTCCTCTTTTTTTCAAAATTTGCTACATCAGAAAATTGATTACACATGCTATTTTTTATTTCGTATGTCTATCATGAACGTGAATGAAATTTTGTTGCTGTTTATCAAAGTGGAGCAACAAATTTTAACCCCCAGGAATAGTCTCATCTATACATTCGCCAAAAAATATAAAAATTATGATAATACTGTATCAACGTGTATAGTCCTGCATTCGTAAGCGAGGCTATATTTAATGCTGCAAAAAATTGCTTCGCGATCATTCTTTATTATTCCTGCTAAATTCTTTTTCAGGAAACCTTAAATTGCTGAAAAAGCCACGTTTCGAACAGTGCACTGATGGTAGTTTATGTTATTTTTCACACAGCAGTTGCCGAGTCGAATGACGGAAAGATAATGAAGTTCCTGTCTGGGACGAGCCTGGCTTTTGTGCCATTCACTATACTAACACGAAATACTGATACGGTATTCGTGAACACTTGACACATTTCTGCCAAACTTTCTCCAACCTCATTATTCCCTGTGTTTGTTGTTTGTCAAATAAGATGTCTCGTGCGTTTGCTAAATGAGAAAGGAATTTGTAAGCTCGTCAATGATTAAATATAAATTTTGAAGTTTTATCCAGTTTCTCTACAATTTTCTCCTTGTTATTTCGTGAAAAGTTTTGGCTAACTTTGAAACGAATTACTGTATATCGATAAATGTTCGGCATAGGACACACGTGGGAAGTTTCTCACGCGGACGGATAGAAAGTTAATGATAAAATTGCTGCTCGCAATTGTGGCTTTTGACAATGAATTCAGCACTTTTTTTCGTTTTTCCACAAATCGATAATCGGTCATATTTCGTCGCAAAATTTTCCTCGCATCTCTCACATGCTGAGTCACACTTCATAGTAATGTTTCGAGGGACGCACGGCGTCACGTTTCAGCAAATTCAATCTCAGTATAAGGATTTATTTCAAATACAAATAGTATAATCATTCCTTGGTCAAGCATATATACAAGTAGAGAATGCCTGCTTTTCTTCGAGAATTATTTGCGTATAAGTGCATAAAAGAGCCCACTGCGTTTTTGTTGTTGTTGTTGAAGATTCATTGGCAGATTTTCACGCTTTGGCTTACTGCTGGGAAAAGCTGCCGGTTTTAATGACGGAAGTTTCAAAGAAAATGCAAATAAAAAATCTTTTTGAGATGAAGTTTACAATTCATGGTCAGCTGCTTCGTTGCTGCCGGAAAGAGTAGCTTCCTGTTGATGGTCGTCACCGGAAGTTCTTGATGATTCGAAATCTGCTCCAGGAGCAGCGAAGTCGTCGTTGATTGACATGTTTGCCCTAGTGTCGACTTCAGCCCATTCTTCGCAGTTTCTGTGGTCGAGGCCATGACCTATGCTTTTGAGATAAGGGTCAGCCCAAGCAGCCAGGCCGAAATGTGTCATGGAGTACCAGTAGTACCTGCAAAAAATAACGATAATTCGAAAATGGAGGGTCCGCGTTTCTAAGAGACTCTTTCACCGCAATAATTGGCAAATCTCTTCGTGCCTTTTTTTTACGTAAAAAAATGAGATCCAGCATAGAATTTACAATTTTAAAAATAAATGAAACGCAAAATAACTTGCCCGTCTCACAAGTTCCCAACGATAGAGACTAAAAACAAGAAAAAATAATGAACGAGTTTGATTCAAAAATATTTCAGGATAGGATAATTTTCAGCGATCGTAGAAAAATTTGTAAATAAAATTAATTATATTTTATTCTTTCCGACGTCCATATGCAGTTAGATGTGATATATTTCATAGTCAGCCACAGCAGTATCTCAAGAATCAACCACGCGTAAATCCCCAGGCATATTAATCCACTCAAATTTGAAAACGAAAAACTGGAATTCAACAGTAAGGAAAAGTTGCAGAAAAAAACCCATGCCAAACAGAAATTAGAAAATTCAAAAATATGCCCGACGCTTGGATAAACCGTCGGCAGCATGTTTTTCTGGGGAAGCCAGAAAAATCCAATTCCCTGATGGTTTTAATAAATGAAACATTCATATTAGTGTGAGGCTTTTTTGTTTCAAAGAATAGTTCGTTGAATGGACCTCGGTTCGTTGTACAAGGTACCACCAGCACAGTATACAGAACACGTGACACTTGTTCTACAGTTTTTTTTTTTCACCACGCGGACGCCCCGACATGCGGACAATTCTACTTAGGGACACTTGAAACTCGAAAAAAATCTGACCCGACATCTGGACAATGGCTATAGACACTTTTCAACATTTTCCGAAAAATCTAAAAAAAGGTATTTCGAATGTTTTGAACAAATGAGCTATTTATATTTACAAAAATTGGAAATACGTTTCGTTTTGAATTTATTCTAATTAAGGATCGAGGACAGACAGGCTTTTTGCGTCTTTTTTCAAAGTTTTTTTCCCATCATCTGTGCACATTATTGCATGACATATTTTTTTTTTCTTTTTTTGCTTTTGGAGCTCCTTTTGATGCAAAACGATCAGATTCTATTTGTTTTCCTTCTGCACAGTTGCTTTCTGTATCTTAAAGATGAGCGAACCCATATTTTTATCTAATTTTTTGGGGATTTCTTCCTAATTTTTGATAAACCACGAGAAAACCCAATTAAATTTGTGTTTGTATCGAAGTCTCTGGGTATAAACAAGATCCGACTTAATTTGCGGACGATCCGACATATAGGGTCAAGGTCCAAAAGCACCAACTACGTCCGCATCTCGGGGTCCCTGCTGTATTTCTACTCTATTTTTTTCTCTCTTCTCTTCTTCACCTGCTGATGCGAGCATTGGCCCGTTCCAGCGGCCCGAACCGACGGTACTTTTCGCACAGGCGTCGGTGCTCGTCCTTGCTGACGAGTCCACTGTCGGGGAACGCGACCTGGTTCCGGGCGTGCGCCTCGCGCAGGGTCTCGCCCATGGCGGCGAATTGGGTCAGCATCTCGTTCACGCCTGTGACGGAGTCCCGGTCAGGCACGCTGTTGTACAACACGCGCAACAGGCCTTCGTCGGCCTGGTCCACGTCTCGCCAAATGGACTGGTAGTCCCCGCTAATGACCGGCAGAGCCCATCTGAACAAAATAAAATAACAAATGAATAAATAAACTTTTGGAGAATCCGAAAAGTGGCGTTGAATGTATTATTTATTGTTAAAAAGGGGGTTTTAAACGATTTTTATTCATTTCGGGAATACAATTTCTAAATTTAATTGAGCAAAAAATATACGGACTGCTAAAAAAAAGAAGCCAGATATTTGAATGGCGTACTTGAACGGATTATCTATAAAGCGGGGGGTTTAAACCATATTTTTCATTATTCTACAGAATACATGAAGGTACAGCAATATATGTAATGGACCAGAAATACGTATGTTTTAGAAAAATCCGTGCGGCGTTAAACGGATTCTTTACAAAGCAAGGATTTTCAATTTTCATTTTTTGAGCACCTGAAGTTAGTTGACCGAAATTCATATATGTTTTAAAAACTTATTATTTATNATGGACAAACGCTGCTTATTTGATTGACAGACACGGCTATTTTATGCATCCCGACCGAGTTGAATTTGATGGTCGAAATAATATCTCCTGTTATTCTTCATCACCCACCTCGTGACTGTTTCTAAAATGTGCTCCTGCTCCTCAGTGCCGTCCAAGCTGCGCTTTTTCCGTCTTCCATTGTTCACCAAGTTGACGATAAATTGCACGAGGAACGCGCCGAATGCGGCAAGTGCCAATCCGAACAACACTGAATCGAAGCCGAAAATCGACGATTGGCGCAAATCGTAGCCGCCGCTTTGCGGGTAACCCGCTCGGGCTTCTGCTGCTGCTTCTTCAGTCTCCATCTTGTGCCAAATTCCGTTTCTTAGATTTTCCAAGCAAAGGATATTTTGAGTTGAACAAAGTCAAGTCTGCTGATGTGTTCACCGGAACACAACTGAGGCCTGACTGGAGAGCCTAGCCTGGATCTGCTCCCGAAATTTCGCCAAGGTCTGTTGAGCATCGTGAGCGTCAGCAGGGAGACAAACTTATGACGCATGGGCTTACATTAAATACGGTTGAACCTCTCCAAGTCGGATTTCCATATAGGGACCAGGAAAAAATCGACTTAGAAAGGTTTTGACTTATTGGGGAAGTTTCGATTTTTGGAGACTTTGAGTAAAGGAAAGATACATTTTTCAGCATGGAAAAGTTAAAAATAAAATTTGTGGGAAATTGTAAATGAGGATATCCTGGGCCTAAACTTGCTTCTCAATGAGTTTACAGCTTATTGCTGAACTTGGAGGCTGGGGTTCATTTGTTCAATTAGTCTTTCACTTCATTTCAAGATAATTTGTTTTATTGATTTTTCTCTTTCATATTTCAAGAAAATAATAACCAAAAGGCTTCAGAAAATTTGACTTGCAGAGGCGGTTTGAAAGAAAAAGACTTTGAGTTAGGGAGGTTTTTAATGCATTGTTACTAAGGGTCCCACACATGGACTTAAAAACAATTTGAGTTAGGGAGGTATTCAACTTAGTGAGGTTCCACTGTACTTACAATAGAATTATGTTTCAACAAATCTTGTCATACATTTTGTTGTCGTTGTAATGATTTTTTCTTGGTCCCAGAAGTTCTCCGTAAGCACAATATAAAGGCTATAAAGGTATCATTTTAATGAACTCATTTTAGCCTGTAATCGCATTATAATGAATATCTTGTCCCTGATTCAGTGAATAGGCCATAGGGATTATTTGGTAAATGTCAGGAAAATAGAAAAAAATGAAAACGTATATCATTCCAACTTTATCAAAGATGAAGCAAAACTCTCTGTGAAGAAAGCTTTGTGTTTTCAAAAAAATACAACAAATGACGAATTTCTCATGTCATTTAAAAAAAAATGTGTTAAACCCCCCAAAAATTGTGTTGCGATGGAACTTATTATTTGTATCCAATTTTTATCAGGTCCCTGCTGGGAGTTCGTTGTAACGAAATTCTAGTGTGATAACGTGAGCATGTATAGAAATTATTCATGAAGATTTATGCTATTGCAAGAGCAGTTTCATGTTCAATATCTTTTGTCGATTTCAGAAAGCTTTCAAAATTTGAAATTGTTCAAATAATAACAATTCGATTTTTGGTTCGACGGGATTTGAAATATTTTCTATTGCCCATTTTTTGGAAAAGGTCGAAGCATCAGTTATAGTTTGTGTGAATTTTCTTATGTAATGATTTGAGAACCATTCTTACAAATCACATTGTTCTCGTTGTGCGAGTTTTTTTATTGATATAAAATTTATATCCACATAAGAGGATTGGCTGAAACAGCAGAAACTTTCTTCATGAACTTGCTGATTTTCTGCTGGCGTTTCTCCGGGGGGTGAAATTACTGGAGCAAAGGATGCAGGCATGGAACAGGTCCGTTGAGTCTTCCTACAGGACATAATAACAGCTT